ATATTTTCGGCCTCTGGGCTGGGCTGTGGTAACCCTAGAGCCTGGTCGCGCGCGGTTCATCCTCCAGTGCCTTTGCATTCGGAAATGAGAAGGGACGCCCATTTCGGGATGGCTTCTAGTTACTGCATTTACATGGGTTTTCGCGGCCCCTGTGAGCTCTTCTGGTGCCTTCCGGGCCCAGGAACCAAGGCAGAGGCTGAGGCAGGGAGGACACGGCCGGGGCAGCTGCTTCACCAACGAGAGAGCACCGCACCGCCCTCCACCACCCACCCCCACTCCGCCCGGCCGACCCCTTGCGTCGGTTTCCGCCTGGCGCCCAGGCTGCCAGGAGCACAGGATCCTGAATGAGAAGTGATTGGCCTTGAGAAGGCAGTTCTAGGTCATTCAGCCTGATTTTACAGCATCCCTGGCCCTACCTGCCCTTGGCCATCCACGTTGAACCCACCATTTCAGCGACGAATCAAGCAGTTCCTCTTGCCTGGCATTTCTGGTCCCTGGCAATGACACTCCCCTCCCCGTTTCCTACTTTTTAATTCATTGCTTATTCTTTAAGGCTTAGTCCTAATATCAACTCTTCCGTATAAAACCTGCCCCATTCTTTGGGATAGTTACTCGATTCCTCTTAAGGAGTGCAGGCTGTGGAAATGGTGCCCAGTTAGAATTACGGCTATGCCATTTAAAATGCCCTATGATTTTTAGCAAATTAGTTAACCTCAATGAGCCTCAGTTTTGCTTCTCAATACAGGTGGTACCTGTACTTCAAGGGTTTTGTGAAGATTAAATGTAAAGTTGTTAGAACCTAGGTGTTTAATAATTGTGAGAACTGTTATTATCTGTCCTCCAATGTATTTTCTTTAGGCCTGTTATAACGTTTGCCCTTTGTGTTACCATTATTTGTTCTTATCTGCCCTATTAGAATTAAAAGCTGGAACAGTGTCTTGTTTACGTCAACATACAACAGTGTTGGGGAAATGTGTATTATTTCTCAAAGTTGAATTCAGCCTCCTTCCTATTGCAGTAGTCTTAAAGTCTTTCTTGCCTGCTTAACTTTGCCTTGGTGTAGTTTTTCTCTGAGCATGTATGTTTAGGTTCTGTGCTCATTGTTTCTTCTTGATTACAATGGTGTCTCATTTCTTCTTGCTGACTGAGAAGTGCTTCTCACATGTCCTCTGAACTAGAGGTTCACCAATTTGGACTTAAAAGAATAGAGCTTTGTGGAGAGAAGCTACTGCTTCAAGTCACTGCACTTGGTAGTGTGTGATATGCAGGATGTGGAAAGGGTGGTATGTCTGTTTGACAGCATCCCAAGTGAGGTGCGTTCATCTTATGGAAGTAGCACCAGAAAACTAT